CGGAAGGTGGCGGATACAGCCATGAAAAGCCATTTTGACGACTCTGCCACTTCCTCCTCAAGATGTGCACACGCGCATTTTTCTGGATGATACTCGCATCAGGTCGTGACAGATAGTTACTTGCGTTATCTTGTCTGGTACCATGTGACCTCCCTGCTTGATTGAGTTGCTGCACTTTCAGGTTTTGGCTTCGTATGGTCCGGCTCTCCAAGAATGCCTCAGGAGTCCGGTCAAAGAGGTAGCCTGTTAGGTTCCAAAAACTTGCATGTGTTCCATAAGATGTAGACAGCTTTCAGATCGGGAGTCGTGGTTGGAGCATGTCAATGCTGAGCAGGAGATGACTGCCGAGCCATTCGCAACTCTTCTGAGAGTCTACGAAGCGGTTGCGGGTTAGCAGGTGGCCGTCTTCCCTGTGGTCTGGTAGAGAGAGGCATGTTGTGAATATTTCATGAGGCCAGCATCATTGTGTCCACCGGCCCATATGAGCCGCAATTTTTCCTAAGACAAAAGAAGAGTAGCCTCGGCATGTTTCTTGTAAAGCCAGAACTCACTGGGGAACAGATAGGGGTTTCAAGATTGCGCGAACGAGATCATAACATCTTTAGCCACTCCAAACGGGCAACGAGATGGAGGACCACCGATTCAAAATATCGTCATTGAGCCAGACAATAAATACAAGTAGTCCCTTATATAGCCTATAGCTTTGCAAGAAGCTAAGTTGAGCTGTCGGTTTCAGGCCTTTTTTCTTGCCACATTCTTTCAAGGGTTGTTGATGCGTACTCAAGTCAGCTCAGGGTTGAGGATGCCAAGGTATGCGTGCACGTGCTGTATGAAACTGCATGGATTTTGAGGTATCCTTGACTGTGACTGCAGTTTCCTAATCCGAGTCCCAGCGCAAGACAGTATGAGCACCTGAAGCTCTCTGAGGTACCTTGTGGTCTGTCATGGGCATGCATTCGCTTGGAACAACCGGTATGCTACCGAGCTTTGACGAAGCCGCAGCCAGGCTGCACAGATGGAAACTTGGGGCCTACATACCAATATTCCGGGCGCCGACATGGCTTGCCAGGCTGAGTGAGCCTATTCAGCGAATCTGCACCAGCACCCTTGGACACTTGCTGTGATGTTCAGCGCATATATGTACACACTCAGCCTGGCGCATGACACTTCAGATGATTCCTTTGCGGGGGATGTTGTGAATGCTTGCTTGCAATCGTTTGCATCCAAGGCGAAATTGTACAAAGAGTCCAAGTATGGATGCTTGAGACCTGGCTGTGAAACTGAGCACGATGTTAACACTGTAAACTTGAAACTGCCAAGTTGGCAGTTCAGCTGCTGTTAGTAGATTCCGTTCTAGTTCGCACCAGGAGGGTACGCCCCAATCCTTGTGTTCAAACAGTGGGCGCTTGAGTTTATGCGCTCGTGATCAAATCTTTACCCCACCGCGTGAGGATCGGCCATGACGAGAAGGGTGGCCTCATCTGGCTGAATAAACTGCACGCAGCACTCGAGAAGGATGGAGGCCGGAGAGGGCGAGCAGGTGTCTGGGTGTTCATGCACCCGTTGGCGGTTTAAACCCTGAATGCCGAGTTAGTAGAGATTCTGGTCTTTTAGCGCAGCTCCGGCTCCTTCCGACAACCCTCGTGCAAGTCGTGTATGTGCAGCTTCTGCTGACTTCTGCTCGGCGTAGCTTTCCTTGTTTCATTAATGTTTTCGGTATTTGTTGCAAGATTTGCAGTCTGGTAAGTTCTGTGGTTCGCAGCGTGGGCATCGCATGGAGTTTGTTGGTGATATTTGCCTTTTTCTGATCCCTGCCCAGGATCTGTCAGGTCAGTGCGAGTGGGAGCTAAAGACAGGCTTTAAATACAGCTTCTCGACCCTGCATGGCGACCCTTCTTCATGTTGAGACTCCTGAGCTACATTGAAATCCGTTCGCATTCATTCCGTGCACCTTGGGTAATCGCTTATGCCAGCAACTCATACGGGGGAGTCTGCCAGGCTACAGTTCCGCAGAGGCGCTGACGCCAGCAGCTGCTTAGATCTGGCATATTTAAGGGCCTTGATAGATTCGGCGGGAAAGATGCGAACCCCTTCTACCCCTCCTTGTAAGATGAAGCTGCGGCTAGGCCAGGCTCCCAAGACCTCATCTCCGTCATAGGCCTGGGCAGCCCAAGGCTCACTGGCCTGGGCAGCCCAAGGCTCGCTGGTTTTAGTTGGAACCAAGGTTAGCTGCCAGAACAACTCCAAGACTGACCGCCTCACCATCAGCTTTTGCCTCAGGATTTTTTTTATCATACTAGCGAGGGCTTCCAATATCCAGCTTGTTCAGGTGACGTGCACTGGGCTAACATTGCCACAGATACTCTCTTGAACCTATAAAGTCAGTTCGGGCAGGTGATGAGAAGCCCGTCTAATAACTTCTGAAATTGCAGCCGCAGGGGCCGACACGCTTCGCGCTTAGGGGGGCATTCACGGGAGCCTTTTCCTGATTGCAGGTGTCTTTAAAGGTTGAGTTTGCTAGGATGCTCAGGGGACCCCCCTGGATGCACTGATGGAAGAAATCTGCACTAGCTTCTGAGATGTAGAGGTATGGATTTCTCGGAGCTGGGGATGGATCAATCATGCGGGCCAAAGCAAGCCCCAGACAATGTATGAGAAGTCACCTCCGCATCGCTTGCACAAGCAGCCCTGGGCCCACGTTCGTTCTGCCGCTGAAGTAAGGTGAGGAAGCCATGCCGCGCTTTCTGCCGCCTCCTGCGCCTCATTCGATACGAAGAAGCTTTGAGTCCTCCGATCTAGGAAGCCCCGTGTAACTGGCATGTCAAGTGGATGGGAAAGTTGAACACTGCATTCTTGCCCTTCAAGATTGCAATTTTTCTTGGTTGGATTGGGGAACGAAAGCGGGTCTGCGATGGTGCCGAGCAGATGTGCACAGCCTGAGCGAAGCCTTATCAGGCTTCAGTTTGCTTGCAAGCCTTTGGTCTGTTGGTCTGTCTTCAAACCACACCTAGCAGCACAACAGTCTGATTCCACAATCCCAGTACGGCCAAAAAGCGCCTAGCCTAGCAAATTGAAAGCAAGGCACCTCGCCTGCTGGACTTTGCCCGACGCAGCGCCAGTCTTGAAGGTGAGGGCCGCGAGGCGTCCGCTCAGTGCATTGCAGCCGGGATGTTCGGTATGCTCGAGTTCGTGCATACAGCTGGCTACTTGTTTGTTCACTGCTCCCTCCAAGGTATTTAGAATGCATTCTCATGAGCACTTAGTGTCCTTTTCGTGTTGGCCAACGTGGGCGAGCCGTGTACGTCGAGCTGAAAACCTACGGACTATGGAGAGTTGTGACAGCATGTGGACTGATGGGATTGTTTGAAAGTGGTTGCTTCCAGCTGGCGTGCTTTGAGGTCTTGTCCATGCTGGGTCAGCCCCTCCAGTCCATCTCGAATGACTTTGTTTGCGACTTTGAGGAGGGACCGCAGCGCACTACAATGTATGTAGATAGCCCCTGACTGACCCAGGCAGAGGCCTAGTAGTTAGCTGTCGCCCACTGAAAGCCTTCTTGGGTACTGGAAGACATTGGGTGGACTTCTGTGCAAAATCAGGCTATATGCACTTCTGACGCACTGCACAGAACATACGTTTTGGACATGCAATGGAAGTCGCGCAGAAGTTAGAGGTACATAATAAGGCAAACATTTCTATTGAGAAGGCGTTGACGTTGCTCTGAATTCCTCTCGAGGCCTCAGCACTTTGGAATACCTCACAATGTCCTAGAGTTTCCCATGCCTGCGCTGCACTAGCCTTGAAACGCGCTGACGCCCTCTGCCCATCTTCCACAAACCGCTCTCCCTCAAGATTCCCTCGTATGCCTGCCACCAAAGGAGTCAGTGACAGTGCCAGAGAATCCATTCACTACTGATCGGCTGAAGTCCCTGCCTGGTGGCATGACCCGTCTCTTGGGCTACTGATAGCAGGGCTTGCGTGTGTTGCCGCGTGATTTCGGGATATTTCGGGTGGTTTTGGTGAATACGGTGCTGTAAGTTCTGCAGAGGTTTTGGCATGTCCCCACCAAACTTTTCAGCCAGTAGGTGGCTTAACCTACCCCCAAATGAAAGTCCGCTCGGTTGCTAAGGCATTGCGGGAGAAATCATCAAGGGCAAGCTGGACGGCCATGTCGCAGCCTGAGGATTCATGTGAAGGATAAATTCACGGATTCACTTCGCCTTTTGTCTGCTCTGGCTGCTTCCTGCGCTTGAAGTGCTTCGGGTGCTGGTACATTGCAGGATGTTTCAAGGCCTAGGCGGCCCAGACATTCTGCGAGGTTGTTGAAGCGGCCATCTTGAAGGAATCAGTGTTTGAGCTGCCAAGGAAGTTTACCTGAAGCGCGCGAGCAGCCGCAAAGGTTGGGTCACAGAGCTTACATGCAACCATGTTCTGATCAATTAAGATCAAGGCTTGGAGCTTCCGCAAAATTTACTAGTTGTTTAACATTCATTGTGGATTACTGCAGGTGCCTGATGTTGGGGCTGTTCTGGAAGTCTGGCAATGCGGGTCAAGAGCTAGAGCTTAGGCATCAAGCGTGTGAAATTGAGGCTTGGATCGGCTTGGGATTCTGAGTTTTAGTGCTGGCGGTGAGTTCGACATTGTGTTCGATCTGCTTGCTGCTGGGTCAAGTCTGAAAGTGTCCATCATTCGATTTGTTGGTTAACTTTCGTCCAACGCACGTGATCGTCTGGATCTGGCAGAGTGCGGTATGCAGGAGTATTGTTGCAGTGCTTTGACCAACTTGCTGCAGCACAGTCTATGGAAGCAGAATGGAGGTAGTGCAGTAGCCTTGTAACGTCAAGACGCATTTCGAAAGACTCTAGGGCGGCGACATAAACTCACGTGGAGCTGTTTCTGAGTGTCGTGTGGCATGGCTCATCTTGAGCCGTCTGACTTGGAATCTTATCCTGCACCCAGCAGCTCAAGAAGGGAGCCTTGTTTCATCCCAACGCCTGCGCCAGGCTGTGGGCTCAAGTGCCTTCCGCAGGATCTCTCGGCAGATCACCTGGAGCCTGCTTTGGACGTCCTAGAAGAGTTCCCAGTCTGCTTTCTGTGGAGCCTCGAGGGGAGCTGCAGTCCCAATGTTGAGTAGTTCCCCAAGCCTGACTTTTTTTCAGGCAGGCTTCTAGTCAGACATCGGGTATTGGACTCTGTTCCTCAAGCCGGGCAGATCTCGTAACATCGGTTGTCCTACAACTGCTGCAGGCATACTCACCCTTCCAGAGCACCTAAGGCTGGAATCTGCCGTGAAGCGCGCATGGTCAGATGACTTGAAGTTTTGCGGCTGCATATCTGTCGTTGCCCATGCAAGGATCGCTGTGTTTGTGATGCCACTATCCAGTGTGCGCAGTTCTCTTCAGCCTTACCTTTCCACAGCATCGTGGAGCCAGGAGATTAGCATCAAAGCTTTTAAAGGTTGCCATTCTTTTTTCGTGGACTGACTGGATAGAGCTTGCTTCTCTAGGAAAGTATGAAGGCGCGTTTTGATTTCGCAGCAGAGGCATGTGGTGAAAATGCGGGCAGAGATGCTGCAGACAGCAGATGAAGCTCCAGCAGACCAGGGGGACGGAACTCGCTTCTGGCTGGGAAGATCCTTGGCACATATTCAGGTAGCTTCATGAGTCATCGCCAAGGGTTTAAGTGATGGGCATGTGATGGAGGTCTTCTCTGCATGTGTAGGAGAGATGCTGTCAGGCTACACTTGCAAATTCACACCCCAGCCCAAAACTGAGCGTCCCTTATGTTGAGCCTCGTGAGCTTGAATCCTGACCAACTTTTAGCAAATCCAACCTTTGGCACTAGGATGTGAATTTGAGGGTTCCGGGCCATCCTTCATTCCGAGCTACAGACCTGCGTCATACCCTCCTGTCCAGGAAGAGGTGGCATAGAAGGACACTTGTGGCTGGAGTGGTGCGTGGGTGCGGATTCTCTGCAGCTGACATGGGGTGTCTGGAATGTTTTGACGGTGCAGTTCACTGTGGCAGTCCCTGCAATGCAGAAACACATGTGGATTCCAGATTTGACGTGGTGCATAGTGTGGCCCCGCAATGCCCTGAGTAAATGGTCTAACAGTTTTGGGAGATTCAGGTAACTTCGGTTGGTGTTTGTCTTAAATTAGAAGCAGAAGCTTGAAACCAGTGCTGGCTAAGGAGCTTGATAACGAGAGATTCTTTGAGGGCTGTGTTGCCGCAGTGAACAAGGCAAGGCCGAGAAGCCGGGAAGATTCCACACAGCCACATCATGTGGCAGCCACATGGGTGCGTGACTTTTGCATGTCTTCGAGTATGCAAGTGAGAACCTGTCATGCAGAGTGCGCTGGGATGCGTTTCTCCCGCTATCTAGCGCCTGGCCCTTCCCATTTGCACCAAGTCACCTTCAGGTGTCGAACACGGCAAGGGCTCAGTCTGTGGGCCGAGGGATCCTGGCGATGATGCTCTACGTGTGCCGCCGATAGTCTGCAAGTGTCCCAGGCACTACCCGTACGTGCCACCTAAATAAGAAAATCTGTTTGACCAGGGTTGCAAATTTGATCGGGGACCCCTGCGTCCAAAAAAGGGATTCCAACGAAATGTGTTGACTGGATGTCAATTGACAGCAAAAACCTGTTGCAGGTAACCTGAGGAGGCATATCGCTAAATTTGGTCCAGATTTGCTTTTGTTTTAGGGCCAAGACCAAAAGTTCACAACGCTACACCACACTTTTTTGCCTCAGCAGTCAACGCCCTGTCCAAACTCGAATCTTAACATGGCTACATCCTCCAACTCACACCATCCACCTTCCCGAGGTGTCGCGCAGGCGCAGTTGGCCCTAAGTTCGCTACAGGACTTGCGCTCGGCCGTGAAGCGAGCACAGACACCTAGCGGCGTTCAGAGGATGTTGACATGGTAGGTTCTCAAAGAACTGAATATCAGTTGGGGAGGAGCTAACGGACTGTGACGACAGAGAAGTTGAGTGTTGCTCATTAGCACCTGCATGACAAGATGTGCTGCTCCGTTCATGTTCACGACAGTTTTGCATTCTGCCGATGTTCTGATTGGCGAAGCAGGCAATGCAGATCAGAGGGGAAGGGTCACAACAAGTTACTCCTGATCACCAGTAGAGAGACAGGCCATGATCCTAAAATATTGCAAGCGCTGCACATGCAGTGGCTCAAGCAAGGAAGTCCGGCGTGGACGAGGTGGTCTGCAAGGATGGATGTACTTGTGGTTCAGTCTTAGCAGCAAATAGAGAGCCCTGTTTCCTGCCACAGGAGCTGCAGACGCTAGCTGGCCGCCTGGCCGTTTTCTTGGGCTGCAAGCGGAACCTCGGCACATCTCGGCACTCATCCTCGCTGCCTAGGTCTCCAGAACAATGCTCCTAGCCTGGTGCATGCAGTTGTGCCGGAGTTTGGCTTGTAATCTGACATAAAATCTGCCAAAGGATTTTGCATTCCAGCTTGGTCTTCTTCTATTCTTTGGGGTTCTTGCTACGTTCCTTACAGGGTGAATCTTGACGTTCTTTTGTTCTGAAGGGTTCTCGTCGCGCTCCGTACAGGGTGAAGAAGCCTTCTTGAGGCAGATCTGAAGCCTTAGAACTTGCACATGCTACACCGCTGAGCAAAGTTCAGAAGCACCGCGTTTAACGAAGGATTTGCGAGCTGCTTGGATGTTTCCTGACGCCTTACATTACATCTCATGCACCCGCTCAAGGTCTATATATAGGGATTGGCGATGCAAGTGTACTTTAACCCTAATCCCTGCCTGTGTGCATTCGGCCTGACCCGAAGGAACTACACTGACAGTAGCGCGGAGATCTCGCCTGCCTTCCTTCTGCCAGTAGCCCAGGATACAGGTTATGTCGGGTGAGGAGGAATCGGGCATTTGATCATCAAAGTGGCCACTGTGATGCGACATCTGGCCCTGGCGAAGTCATTCCAGATATGGAGTTTCTGTACCATTGTGTTTGCCGCTCCGGCTATTCAGGTTTGAATACGTCACCGGCTTCCTCGTGCGAAAGCAGCAGGCTGGAGCCTGCTTAGAGAAAACGTTGCCGCGGCGTCAGCTCCAAGTAGACATGGTGATGCTTTCCGACCGTTTGCGTAGCGGGCACAAGTTTGAGCGTTGAAGCAATGTTCAGGTGACACTGATCCAGAAGTTCGCCGAGGAAGCTTTCGGAGGCCGTTCCCTGGTGGCGCAGATGATCATGGGCACCCTGGCGGGCACTGAGGAAACGTAACAGTCCGTGGTCTTGAAAGCTTCAGAGGGCCTAGGCCATGAATGTGCGAATTTGAGTAAGATGACAATGAGAACCAATGTAGTTTAAGTGCATAGGGCATTTTTGTTGAGGTGTAGGCAACGACGGGCAAGGGTAACTGCTAGAGGTCGTTGTGTAGGAAGCTAGGCGTCTGAACCTCTCAAGCTGGGCTATTTTTGAGATGCACGGGTTGATGTGGCTTATGATGTGGTCTCAGATGTTCTGTAAAGGAAAGGTGGGCTTCAACGCCTTAAGCTCGCCAGCATGCAGTCAGACTTGGCCTACGCGGAGGTCAGCAAGGACATATTGGGACTTTGTCGTTGCAGCCAGTCCCACGCAGCATGTAATTTGCATTTGCTTCTGTCACAAGATTCAGGTGCTGGCAAGACCACTTGCATTGCCCCGATGTTGACTCTTCTGCGGCTTGTTTGCATCATTTCACTCCAATTTGACCGCGGTTGCTGTGAGCCTGTTTGTAGACATGTCGAGTATGCTACAATCCCAGAGTCATCATGACGCAGCAAATCTCGCTTCAGTCTTTATTGCTTGGTCTTTGTCACCTGCAGGATATTTTGTGGATTTCCTTTGGACATGTGAATGCGTGGCATCGTGGCTAGTGACTTTTCTTTCCTCGCCTTGCCAGACCTTGAACAGTATCCCCACTTCATGTCCCATGCCTCTTCCAAATTTAGCCCTCTCCGTGAACTGTCTTGGATGCTTAGTAAGCGCAGCAGCAAGGTTGGGCAATGATGGCCGCCTGGTTCTTAACATCGTTCCCAAGGCACTTCTGGCACAGACGCGGAATGTGATGCGGAAACTCGGCCATCATGGCAAGATACGTTTGAGACGCAACGCAAAACCCTCATGAGTCATAAGCTCTAGCGCCACAAGATGTTTGCAGTTAGGAAGCGCGTGCTCCTTGAGAGAAGTTTAGCTTAGTCTAGCAACCTGGAACCTTTGAAAGCTTCGTTGGGGTGTAAAAGCAGTGTAGCAGCAGCAGCAGCAGCCGCAGCGGCGGCGGCGGGCGGCGGCGGCGGCGGCTGAAGCTGGAGCTGGAGCTGTGCCAATATCATCCTCTGACAAAGTGAGCAGCAGCAGTGCTAGCCACCTACACCAATCAGCAACTGGAAAAGGTAACGGAGAACTTCTGCACTCGCTCGAGCACTTGGCATCGTGGTTAAGTAGTCAGCAGTGACCCTTCAGAGCCCTGAGCCTAGGAAAATGTTTGGGCAGATCCTGGCAAAGCGAGTGGTGACACTGGAGTTCAGCAGAATGATGGGGCAGGACGCACGTAACGCTAAGTCAACACGCGGAGTTCGAGCGCTCCTTCTGTTGTGCATAGGGGTTGGATGCGGTAAAGTGAAATCCAGGGGCTCAAGCCTCAAACCTTTATTTTCATCAATTCTTCATCCAGGATCTTATTTTCGGGTCCCTGGACCTGTTTGCAGGATCTTTTTGTGTGTTGTTCGCCCTAGTTCAAAGGTGAACTCAGGAGATCTTATGTCAGTACTTGATCAGTTTGGGGGTTAGGCCTGAAGGATTTGGTGCAGCTTCCCAGCGACAATATTTGCGACGACAACAACGACACAGTCCGGGCCTCCCGCTGTGATAGCGCTAGGCGAGGGCTGGCGACGACAAAGACGACGAAGCCTGAGCCGCCCGCTGTGATAGTGGGAGGCAAGAGTTTCGACGACAAAGTCTGAGCCTTTAACGGTAATAGTGGGAGGCGAGGGCTGACGACAGTGCTTGAGGAGGCATGCCATAATTTTCAGTTTGCAGCTTTGGCCCAAAAGATTCTATTTCAGGCCTCCGGACCACGTCAATCAAGCCCCATGAACATTCAAAATTGGTGATTTCTGAGGCTCTAACCGTAGCCCTTTGATGTGTATTCTCGATTGCCCTTCATGCCGCCATGCCCCCAGGAATTTTTCCGGATAAAATCTTGGGGATAACCCCCCATGTATTCGGTATGTCCAATCTCTATATTATGGAGGCAAGGCATTTCAACCTTCGGTGGTTGACAGAGTGTGAACCTTGTGGGCTGAGGCCTTGGTCAGAGGGGTTCGAGTTGACGAGCTAAAACGAGCATAATGAGTGGGGATCTGCTTGGAAGAATCCCGCCAGTATCTTAGGATTCTCAGGGAAGCACTTTGAATCTGAACCCCATATGTGCAACTCCACGCAGGACGACCCCTTCGATGTGCAGTGGCTGGGCTACTGTTTGGCATGCTTTGGCTGGCGTTTTCAAGCGCCTGGAACTTTTGACTGGTGCCCATGTTTCCAAGCGTTTGCATAGTGGACAGTGGACTGGCATCCTTCCGGACCGCCCTCAACCCTAAACGTGAAGGTCCAAGCTCCCAACGGAATCCTCCAACCTCAAACCATGTAGGCTGATCAAGCAGCAGCTCTTTGATGCCCAGCGGGATGCGGCGGTTGTTTGTACGACCCCGGCCGACTGTCCGGCCTGCTTGAAGGGGGATCAGGGTGGGTCGACAGTGTAGTACTGCCATCTTCTTTGCAGCAAGATGCGAAATCCTTGGGAGGAGTTGGTGTTGAAATTAGTTGGAAGCTTGGATCTCTGGTTTTCGTTGTAGGTTTTGAGGCACCTGTTCTGAAGCAGGGTCTAGCGGGATGTGGAAGGCTGTGTGTTGTTTGGAGTTCCGGGCTTTTGCAATGCCATCTGCTATGGTATTATGCATTTGCGGATTGTTTTCGCTGCAGGTCAGGCAGTAAACATACACCATCTTGAGCTGCCGCCCGCCAGGCAATCAAGTCCATGTTCCTGCGGCACCTGGAGCTTCTGCAGCTCAACCATCTGCCACTTAGGGGCATTAGCAGTTCTCCTCTGTACTCTGCTTGTGGTTCGCGGCCTTTTGAGAATATTGCTTTCTTTTCCTTTACATTACCTCACGCAGCCTAGGCACCAACACACTCTCAACAAATACAAGAAGGAGATGCACAAGGCTAGCAGAAGTGCTGGTTGATCTTGGGCTTGTTGGTGCGACTACGCAAGCTCCTACCAATTCCTTTGTTTGAAGGCCAAGGACTCTGTGTCCCAGACCCGGTTGAAGACGCGCATGCAAGACGTGAATAAGGACGCTGCGGCGGGAGCAGTCTTGTTGGGGCGTGTTGGCAATGCATCTAACTTGTTGGACTTCCAAATATGCTCTTCTTGTCAGGGATGCTGAGGTTGCAGACCTCAATCCGGCTCTCTAGGTTTAGCTTTTGGGCGTTGATGCTTTGTGATGTGGTTGCAGATGTCCATAGTTAAGCTCCACATTCTGTGTTCATGCCTGACTGAGATTTGTTGCCTTGTGACGTACAAGAGTTCACGCCAGTCGATCGATGCGAGGGCCACCTCCTCTTCCTTGAAATTTCCTAGACTGATGCAGTTCCCCTTATCGCAAAAGGCCTACACCTAAACCCTAGATTCAAAAACCTCAACCTCTGCTGGCTGCTGGGCTTTGCGGATTAAACCCAAGGAATCCCTTCCAAATCTCAGACGGTCAGCCGGCAGCCCTTTAACCGAGCTATCCAGCCTCATGAGCTTCCTCTGTGGCTCTTGCAGGAAGTTGAGGGGAATCGGGTGATGGCCGGGTTCATCGCTGACGTGCTCGTGACTCTGCTGGAGAGGAGTGCTTCGAGGTTTGGGGTTAAGTTGGTTTATTACTGAAGATTAAGTGGCCCTGGCCACTGGCTTCAGTTTTGACCAGATCTGCAGCAGAATCCTCTAGCTATGAGGGGTTGCAAAATCCAAAGACGGGGCAGATGCTGAGAAGCCTTTGGAAGCATGAGGCAATGCTGCGGAACAACAGCTGTGCGCTCATTGACGAGGCGGTGACACGAAGCCACTAGTGCACCTGAAGGTTTGCTGAGGGCAAATTGTAAGAAGGACTGCTTGTCATCATATTGCAAGGGGTTGGAATTACTTGATTTCCGGCGTATCTTCCTTCTGCGGATATGTCGTGAAGGTTTCGCCCTATTCGTGACCAAGTAGCTGAAACTGACAAGGCATCCGATACATTCAAGCGACATTCAGCAGAATAGACGTGTCGCTTGCCTGGAGTTGCGTCTGTAACCGTAGAATACCATGAGCTGAGTTGCCCAGCACAGTCAACGGCTCTGAGATGTGCGGAGCTGGAAGTCTTGTTGATTTTCAACTGCAAGAGGTGCAGTCACGGCACAAGACACGCTTGAACAGAGAAAGAGACCTGATTTACGAAAGTCATGCCCAAATCTTGCTATAGAAAACTGAAGGGATTTGATGCTGGGAGATGCTAGAAGTATCCCCGCCTTGCAACAAGATGGGAAATGGGAGCTTGAGGCTCAGCGTGCTGGAATTGAATTCAGTTGGCAATCTGAAGAAGTTTGGAATGCATCGAACTGGGCTGGCACTGGCATCTGACCTGTAGTTGCGAAAGTCCGCATGGATAGCAAGCTACTTAGAACCGTAAACGTGCATAAAGCAGTGTGTTAAGACCTTGTTAGCCCGCAGCCTGTGGAGCCGACATCCACTTCCTTGCAGCAGGTGGACTTGGTCTTGCATCCTCTGAAGTCAGAGCTCAACTTCCCCATCGGCAATTTCGAGATGCACCCTTGAGCTTTCATATTTCACTTTTTAAACAAGGTGTCAGCAAGTGTAGTAGTCTGAGTCTGTGGTCACCACAAATAATTCCGAGAATGGGGAACATGTTGGAGAATGTTTTTTTTTGGAGGGGCCTCCATTTTTGTTTTTGAAACTTTGTGATCGAGAGGTTATGGATGATCTTGTTCCAAGTGGGATTATTGATCCTGGGTGGGGAAGTGCTTAGCTTTGCATAGGATGAAAGCTACTAACTTACAAGATTCCGGCGTACTTTGCTCGCATTTTTGAGGGCAAGTGCAGTATTCCTTGCTTCGCATACGAACCAATCCTCCGCAGGGCCCAGCAGCGCTATGGGCATAACATGGCATAACGCTAGAAGAGAATGGTAGCAGGTATGACCTGGGTTGCGAGCGCTGGAACCTTGCAGTTCATCTGCTGGATGCTTGGCAAGTCGGTCGCAGGTCGAGCTGGCGGCTTTTTAGTTTTTCCAAGGTTTCACGCCGGGGAAGGGGATCTAAAACCCCACCGCATGTAGAATGACTAAGGGCGGCTTTAAGATTCTCATGGGGTTGAACAGCCCCTGCGCGCACAACGCGGCGCGTGGGCAGGCGTAAGAATTTGTTTGAAAAGTTCTGTTTTGTTGGTCGGTAGAGCATTCACGTGTGGTTAGAGGAGCAATTTGAGACTTGGCCTCTTGTCGCAGGCGGTATCTTAACTTGGGCATGGGCACAGTATTGAAGTCCAGTCGAGGATGCCCTCTTCCTGAACGATGAGGGCCATGCTGCTGCAGGCAACTCACCGTGATCTCTTGCGTCCGGTCTGACCTATCTGGCATTTGTGGTATGCTAGAAGTTCTGAGTCGAGATGTACGCCCAGCATAGAACAGTTGCATGAGGAACGTCCAGGTTCTGTTTTGTGATGTTGCAGATGCCCATCTGTGCCATGAGGCACTTTCTACCCGGAGATCCGCAATTGCATCGGCAAGGCTGCGGTGGAAAGAGCCTGCTTGTTTTGCAGCTTCCGCCAAAACTTAAAAGAAATTCCTGCAAGAGCATTCAGGTATGTTCTCTTTAGTGCCAGAGTGCCTGGTGGCAGGTTGGTGATGCCGCTGCTGCGCGTATCTCCGAGTTGGAGGAAAGGATTCCGCAAATTATTACGAAAGGCAGCCTGGCAGGACTTCGCAGCTTCTTCTTTGTTGTTCTTCTAGAGTTCTGAGACTTTCCGATTAGCATGGGCTTTGATTTGTACCGGAACCGCGCGACATGTACGCAGGCTCTCATGGCAATTCCCGCAAATTCGCATGCCACACGCATAAAACTAAGTATTACGCAGGCAACGAGAGGCTTTGTCTTGGTCTGGAATTTGCTTCTGATACAGTACGAACATGGAGGCTCCTCAGTCAGTCTTTCGAAGACCTCGTCTTAAGCCTAGCTAAGGCTAGCTGAGGCCAGCGCAACTTGATTTTAGTGCTTAGCTGGCACGAGAGGTCCGAGACGACGTATTCAACACATCCTTCAACAAGCCTGGCAGAATTAATGTTTTCCCCAGCTGCAAAACAATACAGCTGCATCTGTCAGTACCGCGTGATGCCCTTCTGACCCTGACCAACGTTAATCCAAATCTTGGAAGACCAGCCTTTGACCTTGGACACCGCAACCAGAGGCTACGAAATGCTGACGCTGCAGAAACAGCCGCATTTGGTGTTGCTCAGTCGGCCGTGGTACGACCAGAACCTCCGTAGGCGTGCTTTGGTGCTTGTTTCGGTGTGCGTCAAACGCATCATTTTAAGGAAGTCTGCGTGCGCGTGCATTGCAGCATTCTTTGTTTTGGTAGCGTGTCTGAAGTACCCATATACTTGATGGGGTCTGCACGGGCTTGTTTCCGTGGCATGCCTCTGTCATGAGGCAACACTCCAAAACGAGGCAACACTTTGCTAATAGGTGCTAAGTTGTCTTGAGCTCTCATGGCTAGAGTGCCCCAGGTTCTTCAGGGCAGTCGAGTGGCAGTCGTTGCAGTTGGAATCTTGAGAAAGTAGGATTGCCACGTATTGAATCCATGCGCAGGCCCCTTGCTGAGTGGCTGGCCTGTTGGCTGGTAACTCGGCCAGAGGCCGGGTAAACCTATCTTTGGGTGCAAGGGCTTGCAGCCAGGAACCGTAGTTGGTGCCTTGCCGACTCTTGGTGCAGTCGCTCGGCTGGATGCATTCTCGTAGCCGACTTGCTTGTGCAACATGTGTCACTCCTGGTGTTCTGCAAACCCTCAGTGGCAAAACGCTCCCTGCAAAGCCAAGCTGACAAATACGGTCTACATGACTGTCACGGCGGGTTACTTCTCGTGCGTTGCAGGCGGAAAAGTTCAGAGAGGGGGTCGAGTTCGAGGATGTTTGCGACTTCCTCTCCATGGACCCTGGACTCGTCTTTGAAGGGATTCCTCGGAGTTGCGTGCATAGGAGACGTTTTGCATGCGTCCGGGTTTCGCGGACGGCATGGCATCCTGCATCAGCTCAGGAGCTCTCAGAGTTGCTCAAGTCCAAGTGCAAGTCGAGGGTCGAAGTCAAGGCTGGCTAGCAGAGTGACTCGGGCGTTCCATGCTCAGAGCTTTACAAAGGCATGATCACTGATTGCTGCTGGTGCTGGTGCGGGTGCTGCTGGTGCTGCTGGTGGCGGCGGCAGCGGCGGTGGTGGCTGCGGCTGCGGCGGCGGCGGTGGCGGTGGTGGTGGCTGTGGCGGCGGAGGCGGTGGCACTGGCCTCACTGCTGATGATGCTGAGAGTTGGTCGTGAGAGCCAAATATTGACAGCATGATGGTCTGCTTCACATTGCTTCACAGCCAGACAACGACCGATGAAACTTTAGAACCTAGAACCTGGGAGGCCGAGGGGGCCCTGGGCAAGCTGCTCACCCTGGGTCGAGAGTGGCTCTTCAGCCTAGTTCCGCACGTCATCTCGAAGATCGACCGAGTGCAGTTGCCGGTCTGCAAATGGTCTGAGCCTGTCGTAAACGGTTTGTACTGCTTGATGTTTCGGGTCTTGGTTTGCCATGCGGCTTCTACGGTTCCACTTCCGTATGCCCTGTTGGTCAAAGCTTATCAGTCTTCGCATGTCTTTGCAGTTTCGACTTCGTCCGCCCTTGTCCTTTCCTCATGAAGTTCGACAACAACGAAGAATGAGCTTGCTCGTCAATCATAGTTCAAGTGCTAAGCTAAGTAGCTCAGGGCTGGAGCTAGGGGATTGATGATCAGGTGAAAACGCCTCAAGATGCCTCAAGAATTATGTTTGCGACTTATTTCGAGCGTGGGCTGACAAAGGCTAATCATTCTCATTTAGATTTTCGCGATTTTAGAATGCCACAAAAGGATACAGAAGGAACGCAGCAAGGGATCAAATTAAAGTAGGATTTAAGGGCTGAGGGCCTGCAGTTGAAGATCCCCCTAGCATCCTCCTGGCCTGGGTCTGGAGCCTCGTTACGAAGACCCAAATCTCCCAGCACTCTGAATGAAAATCTGTGTGCCTTCCAAGGTATGGTCTTCTGACCGAGCATGAGCTGCAGCAGCCTGAAAATCAGAAGGCCTCTGATCACCAAGTGGCTGTTTCAGGGCTGGGCAGCATTACGCACGGAACATGAGCTTCTGCTTTGTTTGGAGGATGTTTGCAGTGCTTCCGTAGGCTTTATCGCCCCCTGCTACCTGCCAATACGATGATCCATGCTCCACGTGGATTCTGCACGCCCGCAGTCAACACTTAGTTCACCGGGCGCGGGGTTGATTGAGGATTCCGTGAGCCAGAGTGCACGCGAGGTCAGACCAGCTTTAGAAGGTTTCGTTGAGAAGGAATACACAAGAATACACTCTTTCAAGAAAGTTTGTGAAACAGGACCTCTTTGACAGTCCTAGAGGGGCTCCCGCTTGCTGCGTCACAGGCTCCGTCCAGCCGCCGGCTGCTGGCCGTCCCCTTCGTGGCAAAGGCCGAAGCCATGCCGACATACAAACCTCCCAAAGAGCCTTGAACATCTCTCGTTTAGATGGCCAAGAAATCTGCATTGACGACTGCAGAAAAGAAGTGCATTATTTGGATCCTGTAAATGCCTGAATTCCTGTGAATCCTTCCGGGCAATTGTGAGAACGATGGTCCCCGTTCAAGATCTTCATGTTACAAGTTGCGCGCCACGACGACTGACCTGGGTTCCATAGCCGTGGGACCTTCGGAAGCTGTCTGCTCTGTCACATGTTTCCTGTAGGACAAGCCCAGCCCGGCAGCGGAGTTTGCGCAGCCAGACGTGCTTATCGGCTTTACAGTGCCTGGAAGCCCAGAGGGATTCGAGCCTCATGACACCTTCTGCTCGGGCCCTCAGATAAATTTGCATGTAGTTCATGCAGCTTCTCACGTGGAAAGCTCCCCAAAGAGTACGGCGATTTGGGATTGAGGGGGCCCTTGGCTTTTTGCTCAACCGGTGCTGTGCAGCAAGCACACCAGCAAACGGTGAGAGGACCTCAGCATTCAACCATGAAGCCGAAAGCCTGATGTCAAAAGATCAGGCCCAAAATCCAAATCAAATGGTGTAACCTCTTGCCGCTTGCCATCTTGACCCACCAAGAAAGGACCCACCCCTGACATGGGCAGGTTGGCATACCGCTACGAGGGCCTCCGACTGTCTGACACCGTGCAAATGCTTCACCACCTGCAGATGAAATCCGGCCGCGTGCCGGGCCCAGCTGAGTTTTGGGGTTAGGGCTGGGGCTTCCTAGATGGACGACATTCCAAGTGCAGATCCTGGCACTTAAGGTCTGCTTCCCTGGTTTGGTTTGGGGCCACAGGGGCTTTCACACAGGCTCATGAGCGCTTTCTAGTGTAGGAGTTGCAGGTTGCGTTGGCATTTGTCCTCGTGCAGGTGGGATTTGGTGGCTTTGATGTCGCATGGGCAGAGAATGAATGTGGCCCTGCAGGGCTTCCATGTGCGAAATGTCATACATTGTATAGATGAAGTAACCATTTTCTCCCAGGCCTGGGTCCACAATCCTGCATCATGACGCTGTTGAGGAGTCCGGACCGTGGGGCTCGCGTCCCACCTGCATACTCTTCGAACGATGGAAGGACAGTAAAGAATTCAGGGGAGCTTCAGCAACGATTGGCTGTCTTAGTGAGCATACTGTGGGTGTTCAGTCAGATCTTGGGTGTGAGTCTACCTTGGATTCAGGGGTGCAAACATCAGCACAACGTGGTAGGGACAAACCAAAGGGGATGTTGCCTTCGTAGTCTAGGTTCGCTGTAGTGGATGCTCCTGATGGCGTAAACGCTTCGCACACCCTGGCCGAGTGAATCTGGCCAACATTGATCCTGCGGATCCTCAACGATTCCCCTCAAAGCAAGCCGCTTTGTGCAGAGGACCTGGGCAGCAAGCGTTACGAGGAAAAGGGTGGCAAGGCATCTGCAGGAGGCATGGGCAGCAGGTTGAGTTACGCTACTCAAGCGATCGGCAGACGAACAGACCACAAATACGGCCCACAGGTTTGGAGCCGCTGAATTGGGAGGTTCACTTGGACGATGAGTGGCTCAGCCTTGTCTATGGTAAGGTTACATTCACATATTCTTCTTTTCTGTAGCCTCGTTTGCGGGAATCGAGGTGGAAGAAGCTTCCGAACTCAATTACCGCGGCTCGGCAAATAGTTTTTACGTTGGCTGTAGCAGTGTAGCATTGTTATATATTTGACTTAGAAACGGGTATCTTTGCTTCCTTCAGGTCGAACTGAAGGATTCAGTAGTGTTTGGCTCGTTAAAATACCCCCCCTGAGTTCAAGGCGGACCAATCTTGAAACAAAGGTCCAAGAAATTGGGGGTCATAACGAAAACTCTGAGGCCTGAGCTCTCTCGGAGTACGGGTAAGAGTAGGAGCTCTCTGAATTTGACTTCAATTGCAAACCATGATTGTGTTTTACTTTTTTGAGGTTTATGATCTCCACCCCTTTATAAAAATCGCCTCCTGAACGGCCAACATGTGGATAGGGCAAATCAAGCAAATCATAGGTTCGCAATAAACATCAAATTGTAAATCCCAAGCCTCAGCTCAGGATTTTCTCTGCCCCAGGGGAATTTCGTTAATCCCAGCCCGTTTATAATAACGACGCTGACATGAGAATGTGAAGGATCTGACCTCTTCAGCAGAATGTTGTGATTTTGTGACGTGTCGTTGTCTCAGTGGTGGATGTCATGGGGGGATGTTTCGAGATGAGGGCCCCCAAACTTCGCTGCGTAGCAGATGGTATGCCAAAACTGGTCTCCTGCTACGTAAGTAATTGCGAAGGAGCAGAGGAGCAGAGGAGCTCATGCACCCATGGGACCGATTCTTGCACCAATTCCAACCAAGGAGAAGCTCCGCGAGGCTGTGGCGATGAAGCAGACGAAGATACGCTTCAAAGGCAATGGGACACCAAACTTATCTGGTAGTCGCTGTTAGGTTCCGTCTGCCCAGAAGCAAGCCTCACATAGCCTCAGATTTCAGAGTCAGCCTCCTAGATTTTGCGGCAGTGAGCAATTGCCTCTCGGCTCAGAAAAAACAAGGCCTCTGCATGATTCTCAGCGACTGGGTTGGTGCTCCAGCCATTCATCGTGAATCTCAAGTTGGTACAGCAAGAAGTGATACCATTTGCACGCTGCGTGCACATACGGGCACCTGACCAAAACGGATGGCCAAACAATAAGAGCCGGCTAGGCTGTGTGTTGGGACGGCGTAGTAGTGTAGTGCTTGGAACTTCATAAGGGTTGGGATCCCCCGGAAGAGGCATTTCTTAAGCCCATTTGGCGAGGCTTCGGTGCCCAGCCCTACGAGATCGATCTGGCTTGCTGCCCGCAGATGTGGAGTGTACCAATTGGGGTACTTTCAGGTAGGTGTGGGGGCTCAGGGTGTACCGGTCCCTGGCAAAGCATTTCAAGCGTTGTTTGGCGTCCTCTATTAAGTAGCGTTAGAGGACGTTGTCTTGAGCAGTGGCAAGGCAAGCGCAGTTCCATAAATTGTTATTGTCCTGTGCTTGTCTTCCCTTGGACAATCCTTTCATGCGTCAGAGATTCTGTTGCATCTATTTGCAAGATATGGGCTGTTAGAGTCAATAGAAGAAGCGTACATCAAGAAGTTCTTTGGCAGGCAACCCAAACAACCTTACTGCAAAACTTGTCAATGTTTCCGGAAAATATACTCACCCAGGCCTGCATCCCGTGAATCCTCACTGAAAAGGGTTTAGTTAATACTTTTTGTATAGGTAGCAGCTTTTAAACTTTAGGACATCCCAAGTCTCTCGGCTTTGCATCTACTGTTCTACTCCTCCTCTCGCCATCTGGCACACCAAATTCGCAATAGACGTCTGAGGTGGAACCACGACTAACCGTTTTGTTTTCCAGGAACCGGGAAAGGGGTGGAGACAGATTTAGACAAATGTTGGTGAGGAAGCGATGGTCCAAGTGAATCTCAAGTCGCACAAGAAGCGCGACATCCGGCAGGTCGAGTCCCACGCCAAGAGGCTCTACGTTGTTTTCGGTGCTTGTGGGTTGAACTGGCTTGAACCCTGTGCTTACGTTGGTCTCAAGAGTGTCTCAGAAGATCTGAGTTGAAATCAGCTTGGGGCTCCCCATGTACTACCCATGAAGACCTCGAAGATCCTCTGAACGAAAATGCCAGTCCTGAAGCTGCAAGCAGCAACTCAGCAACTGAGAGTGAAACGATGCGGTCTTGCAGTCGAATTTCCTGCGACCGAGGTAATTTCCCAGACATGTCCTAACTGCGTGTTGACACCAGGGGTGACGACCTGAAGCTCCCAGAGCTTCAAGCCCTGTCGTCATCAACTGGCGACGAGGCTAGGGTTCACTCGAGCTACGGTTCTATCCCAGCTCTTTCTGGAGAAGGCAAGCACAGCCAAAATCTGATGGAGTCATCTCGCGTGACAGGAGAGCAAGAAAAAGAAAAAGAAGGTCGAGGAGGAGAAGCCGGACGGCGACGCAGGAGATGCTGCCCTTGCAGGCCGACAGTCAGAGAGGGTTCCAAATAGGCTCAGAGGCACATACGGTGTTGCCTCTTGAAGTAGTGTGAGCCTTGGAGAGACTTGGGAGAATATCCACCATGCGCTCGCCCAGATATTACATCCCCGCGCCAGAGCGAGACGCAGGGCTCTGTCCATGCAACCTAATCTTACTTGCTTACAACTGGGTTGTGCACAAGGCCAACGTCTGGCGGAACTGCCAGAGAAAGGTATGTTAGTGACGGAACCATCAGCACAGTGTTGCTGCAGAATCCTGTATTCGGCAGTCCTGCTATGCCACAGGGCTGCTTTTTCACGCCAAGCCTTAAGCAGTGGGCCCCCAAGTTTACTAGACCCCAGTGAATATCTCAGTTTGAGTAGGGGCTATGTCTTTTTTGCAAAGGTAGGCATGGGATTGTCTTGTCTCCTCAGAGCTTACCGCCATGTGGCACGGGATCAAGATCTCATCGATCTACTCTTCAGGTCACGCCGCCCCAGGGGCCCCAGACGATAGCGTCGTCAGCACGGTTGAACATTTTCTTCATGCATTCCCTCAGCAGATTGTAGTTGCTTATGAGTGCGCTTTTGGAAAGACAAGTGTTTATGAGCTGCCCGCAAAAGCATGTCGTGAGCGGTTGCCTTTCTGCCAGGCGGAGAGGTCCAGGAGAAGAAGCCCGAAGGCCATGCGCAGGTGCACACCAGCTGAGCTTTGCGTTCGGTGTAAGGCCATGACTGGTAGTGTAGGTGTTCTTTCAATTCGGATTTGTAGTAGTGGGACTGCCCGCAGTATCGGCTGTGATCGGCGAAGGTGGCCATGGAGCTGCTCGGCCCGGTCCCCGAAATCATTCTCTGGTACCTGCTCACCATGGTCTTTGATGCCGTGCTGCCACTTACCATTGACTTTAAAGCCTTTGGTCCATTTATGATGTGGGTATGGACCCTTACAACTAGTTCTCACCCCAATTTGCGGATTTCTGCTTCGACTTTCAGAGTAGCGGAGTACGTTTCTGTTCCTTGAGTTCTGAGGCAGAGGCTCGAAGGGCAGAGCTTGTTTGGGTCTGATTTTGGGTGTTGCAAGGTTGCATTTGCTGCGTTCGCCACAGATTATGCTCAAAACTGCGACTTGAAGCCTGGGTTCAGTGAGGCGACAGCAGCCCTACAAGCTGTCCGCCACAGGGCAGGAGCGTTGCCTGCATTCATTGACTGGCATGCCACACTCGCAGGGAGTTTGGGCATTGCGAAAGAACGCTGCAGGAGCTGGGCTCTTCGATGCTCTTCTCCACGCGCATAGGCCAAGCCTGCTTCCTGCACGGTTCAAAGCTTCAGCATTTCTGTGACTTGCCTCAGTGTTCGCAACTTGTCACTGCTTCGGGGTAGGCACGGGGAGAAGCAGCCCGCTGCAAGCTTGAAACGGGCAGAAATCAGTTCGCCTGGGCAAGTGGGAGTTTGGAAGGATGTGTTAGGTATGCAATGGTATGCCGCTGCATTATGGTTTTGGGCTTGAGATGCCTTCAGCAATCAGGTAGCAAAGGGCTCTTGTCTGCACCAGGCTTCTCAGGCACACCGTCGTCGCTGCTGCCTGAAGACCTTGGGACATGTCTCTTCGAAGCCGAGAATGAAGGCCTATGGTGTTTCGCATGCAAGCTGCGTGAAGATGCTTTGGGTAAAACTTCTGCAACGGTGAGGTGAGATCCTCTCAGTGCTGAGCGACGAGCAGCATGTAGTGCCACCCCTCATCGAGATGCCAGCAGACTGGTCGCCGGAGAGTATCCTGAAGCCTGGCAGCCATCTTGTTGGGGCTATAGGAGGATGAATCAGCTTCTCTGGCACAGACGCAAGCACTTTCAACATAGCCCGCCATGCAGCTTGTAGGATGTGTTCTGAACATGTAGATGACAAGTGGTTCTTGCGGCTGAGGAGGAAGGTGGCAGAGAGCAAGGACAGCTGGCCTTGCGAAGCCACCACATTGCTCAAACATCAGCTTTTCCAAACTCCACTTGCCTTTCTGGGAGGACCCTGTGTATCATTGCCTCATCGACACCGGTGCTTTGGTGATGGGATTCACCAACGAGGAAGTCGCGAAGGTGATGCTGAAGATGCTTCGTGGATTTTTATACGGCAGACCAGTTCACTTTTGCGACGTTTGGATCTTTTGTAGGGTATACCAGCGCCAAGCATTCGCGAGAAAGGCGTGTAACGACAGGCCGCAACAAAGGGGTATGTAACAACAGGGTGGGGGACATGTGCGAAACCACTACATTCCTCGAAAATCCGCTTTAACGATAGCATTTTGCTGCAGCTTGTTCATTTTCTGCAGAATCGCCAAGGCTTCCGGAAGAACTCTTTGAACCTTGGGCGGATCTTGATTTGGTTCCAAGTTTTGGTTATACTACAAGGAAGCCGTTCAGCGCAGTAAACACGCCTCAAGCCTTTGAAATTCGAGGACGGAGTTGCCTACTTTGATGACAGGGATGCTCCGATGGTAATCCTCCGTGGGGCCGTGAAACCTGTGCCTTGGCAAGCGCCAGCTACGTCAAGGGCCAACGTGAACGCTGCACGCAGCTACTCAAACCTCACTAGATGGTGCACGATGTTCTAGAGCAAAGTCTGCCCCGTTTTTGGGGGAACCTAGTTAGGAGAGCAACCGGCAAGCTCCAGATGACTCAGGCGTTGCTGAGCGAAGCGGGTGTTCCCATGGACAGGCGCTTCACTTTCTTCGATCAGGTGCCAAGGGCTCCTGAATCCAGATATGTATACTATAGTAGTGAGAGCCTTGGAGCAATCTGCGCCTCTAGGGTCGGGTTTAGCTTACATACCAAGGTATGGATGAGGAGCAGGAGGAGGAAGGCAAACACTGCGATCCGTGATAATCAACCTGAAAAGCCTTCTTGTCCTCGTGACCCTCTTGAATTCAAAAATCCCTAAACAGTGTCAAATCCTTGTGTACCTAGAGTGACAAAAGCCAAAAGGTGCACACGACAGGCACCGACACCAAGCAGCCACTGCAGAGACTTGGCTAGTTCGAGACTTGATCTCCGTCAGCTGTTCGGCGGCTTGGGAAGATTGTGCACGTATCATTTACGCAGTATACATTCTGGTCGGCCAAGTAGGGATGATGCCAGGAGCTATGCAGCACTGACCCTTTCGGCCTCCATGACCTTTCGGGACTACGCGCCCCTTGGCTGGGGCCGCTGCATGAGTTTCCAGACTTGAGGGTTGAAGGTCTAGTGACTGGTCAAATTTCTGGCGGCCTTCTGTCCTATTGGGAGTGTGTGGGTTCAAGGCTCCTTCAGTTTCTCAAGGTGTTACGATGGGCTCCAAGCTCCGCAGACCATCCAACAACTTAGGCAAGGAGCTTGGCGTATGCGTGGACTAGGCAAGGGACAGAAGCTTCGCAGCCTGGTAGCATAAAGGACAAGCCGCTTGGCTCCAGCAAGAGCTGTCTGACTGTCCAAAACAGCAGAATTAGACTGGTATCAAAGCTTGAATGGTTTGCTCAGGTTTGGGTTTCTTTGCATTTTGCTAGCCCTAAACCTCACGGGAAGACTGACTTTTTTGAAGCTGATCCTTGTACAAGCTTCATCTCTTCCCGATTCTACACTCTTTAATGGTACCTTGGCAAACCTGCCAGGCATGATGATCACACCGGAACTCGCCAAGAAGGCGCGGCGCGGATCTTCTTGAAGTACGTGCAGAGAGGTTTCGGCATGTTTTAGCTGTCAGGTCCAGGGCGCTGTGAAGGCCGAGGGCACTCTTGGCCTCCACGATGCGGTGGCCTTCATGTGGTGCCCCCAGAAACCTATGATAGCATGAAGTTTAGCGTCAGCATATCACTTACTGCGGGCTGCTGCGAGAAGCGATCAGCTCACAAGAATAAGTTGGGATGCAGCTGGGAGAGCCAAGAGGATGGGCTCTCTCAGGTTAGCCTTGGTGCGAACAAGGCTTTGCCAGGGATTGGCATGGAAGTTGGTAACCAGGGACATTTGCATCATGCACTGGTGAAGTCAACTTGTTGAAGTTATGTAGGGACGTCAATGTGGACAGGTGCCTTTGCTCCGCCTTTCCAACCCTCATGCCTTGAAGCAATTACAATCTGGACGATCAAAGCCCACCGGCCGACAATGTCCTTCAACAAAATTCCTAGACTGCATGAAGCCATTGATTGATCCTGTCTGAAAGCAGGTTTTCGAACCAGTTCGATTCGGAGGGACGCTGGGTCTTGCTGAGCACCTGCTTCTGGGTTTAGGGTTTAGCTTTTTCTGACTTCCTGCAAAAAGCCCAGGACAAGCAACATGGTGCCGTTTCTAAAAGTTTGTTTGGATGTTAGCTGTTAGCATCTACTCAGACCCCGCGTGCGGGTGATGTGGGAGGTGTTGTTGTACTGCAGGCATCCAACGATTCTCCCTGTCATGCTTTGGGGCATGTAGGGCTTTTTGCAAGTGTTTGACTGAAACAGTACATGCACCCGTGATGTTGAGATGCGGCGCTCCTTCACTCCGATCTGTTTCCAAAGCGCCCTCTACAATTTGCACAATGGATTCGACCTCCGTAGAAGGCCTGTGATCAAAGCTGCAACTGTCGGTCCTGCTGGTGTGTTATACAAAGAATCAAACAGATTTATGTTCCAGTCGAGGAAAGCAATTTGCGGCTTTGCAGCTGCAGAATCTTGCTACGGTGTGGCGAAAGCATTCCCTGAACTCTATCATGAAGGGGCAGGAGCTGCTGAACAAGTGCAGAAGGTAGTGAAGCACCCATGCTTACGCTGGTTTGCTCATTTAGCGTATTTGGCTTAGAATAGTTTCGATCTGCAGGAACAGTCAGAGCCGAGTACAAGGTTGTGAGCGCAAAATTCTGTTGAGCACTGACCCGCGCGCATGTGTTGGCAACGCATATTGTAATGAAGTACAGTGCAGTACATATTGCGAGGAAATGGCACATGTTTGCAGAACTGGAATTGGATTTGTATATACCCTATTATAATGTAGTAGTTTCCATTTCTTTTCCATTATAGAATGTTTCCCCTGATTCCCTACTAAGCAGAAAGATTTCCACTTTCTTTTCCATTATCCCTATATAACCCCATATAACCCCAATACGTACCCTGCAACCCCAATATAACCCCAATATAACATGAGAGTCTTATAGGGTTATATAGGGTGTTTAAGGGGAAGCTAGGAGTTCAGACTCGATCTCCGTTGATTTCATTTGTTTGGTTGGATAGGCTTCCTGCGTTGCTCGAGGCCTCTAGGCATGAGGAGCCCATCTACCTGGCTGGGGTTTAGCGGCTGATATGTCTATCTGAACTTCTGCACTTCAAGAGACTGAAGAACTGATCTCTTGTGTGTCAACTTCTACATGTTTGCATAATAAGCTTGGGGGTTGAAATGATTCGAATTCTTTCTTTTGATGCAGCCAAGCCAAGAGAAAGCCTTTCAAGAATGCCATATTTCCAAAAGCCGGTAGGGAATTCAATGTGTATCCCTGACAACATTGCAGGATCCAAAGGCACGCGAAGAGATGCGGCCAGAGGCACGACTTGCCCGTTACAGCTGATTTTCCGGAGTGTCCCCCAATGGTCATGACTATCTCCAAGGGAGATCGGTACTTCTAGAGCGCGACATATTCAATGCCTCTCGTTTTGTATGACTCAGCCGATGCCAGGTGGAGTCCTTCCTGGAGTCCTTGCGCTTTCCAGTGGAACCCAAGGCGCGGCGGTGGAAGCAACAGTCGCCAATTTGGCCGTTGAATTGTTCATGATGTGTACGATACTTTTAGGAGCACGTGGCATGAAGGGCACCCAACTCTCAAGACGGACATTGCGCATGCACAGCAATTCCTATCGCCTAAGAAGCTCAATTGTGGCGTCCCACTGAAAATGTGAAAGTCAAAAAGAGTGCTGAACTGCGATGAATACCTAGCCTGTCGAAGAGATGCATACAAGTTGAACCTGGCCCCCATGTCAGCCTTCAAGCTTGCCCACTCCCGCGTGAACAGCTTCAACATGAGCTAAACAGGCTGCAAGACCCGACCTGCACAGGTTCGCGAGCCTCTGCGGCTCCACGAGAAGATGCAGGAGATGGTGAATGCCCAGGAGGGGTTGGTGGGCTTCTGTAGCTGAGGCTAATTGCCTTAAATGTCATTTGAAGTCTGCCTAACAAACTCATGCTGGAAGGGGATAGAGGCCTATCTGGATTTTGTTGACGCTGCTGCTGTAACATCAAGGTTCTTCACCCTTGCAGAGGCGATACATAGATACGCACATATATATATATATGTACACATGTATATGTATATGCATATGTGTGCGTATCTACCTACTGATATATATATATATAGCGCAGTGCATGCAAAAACACAGAGACCATGAGTCGGTCTAAGCCTTGGACAAGGTCACAAGGTCAGGAAGCTGTTCGTGTGGTCAGTGTTTGATCTCAGCTCTGGTGGCTCGTTTGTAAGGAGACCCGCCTTGTCGGCCATGGGGGTTTCATTTCGACAAGACGTTCCTGTAGATCCCACCATGATCAGGCCCACATCATGGATGACGCTGAGAAGGTGGGGCAGCACGTGCGGCGCTGGCAGCCTATGAGTGGTACGAATGTCCATGGTCCCTTTCATGCTCATGAATGGTACGGTACCCCTCGCTCTGAAGCCTGAAACGCAACGCCAAAAAGCATCCCAAAGACTCACAACGAATTTAAACCAGGGCCTCAGACCCAAACCCTAAACATGCACAGTCTGCAGAGCAACGTTGACATTCAAACGCCTAAAATCCAGACCCTCGAGCTGCAGACATCCACTTGTCCCACAGTAGGCTGCCTGCGCAAAGCTCATCGACGCAGCCGCGGGTGGGGGCGGCAGCGAGGGCGGAGAGCTTGGCGCGGAGATCACCCGACAGCAGGAACGTGAGACATGAAGCCTTGAATGAAAAAGAATTACTAATGAATTACCAACTTATTATCT